CCTGATCCTTCTCACAGCCCACACTTCAGGGAGGGCAGGAGTTTCTGTGTCCATTTTATAGACAAGGGAACTGAACGTTGCAGAGGTAGCTGTGATTCGCTCAAAGTCACGAGCCTGAGGTGCAAGAGCTCTGAGAAATAAGAGCCCAGAGCCTCCCCATCCTAATCCTTGTTGGACCACCTCGCTCCGATTTTAGACTCAGAAGCATGACCATCTATTCCACGGGCACCACACTCAGATGCTCCTAGGGGCCAGTGAGTAATCTAGATGATTGCTGTGCACCTGGGTGGGCAGCAGAGAGTGATGGTGACAATAGGAACAGGGCACTGCTCTGTCTTGGGTGGACATGGGTAACCTGACTCTTCCTCAGATCCGCCACAGGGAAAGCATCCTGGTGCCAGAGCTTCCTGTTGTCGTAAGTAAAGCCAGAAATCCAGACTTTTATGAGAAATGTTCCCCCACCACTTTTTTTTTTTAAAGCCGGTGATTGGCTCAGATTTACATCTAGAGGCACATTTGGCCAGTGTGTCTCTAGTTCGTGAGCTGACTCATGACCCAGGCTGGCATTAAAACAGGAAACCTGTTATCATTCTTCCATCTCTACTCCCTGGCTCCCAAACTTGGAGGATCAAGATGCTTTTTATCTTAAAAACTGGAGGCTCTTGGAAGCAGATGGGAAGAGTTGCCGAAATCTCCCTGCCATGCTTTTGGACCATGTCCACCTTGTGCAAATTCAACAGTCCAGCTGTTTCCGTTCTGCTTAAATGGCTCTTTCTTCTTTTCCTGCAGCCTTCTACAAGCCCCACTTGCTTCTGGGACTTCTGCTATAAGGATAGGAGAGTTCAAACCTTCAAGGTGCTATTCCTTTTCCCCTTCTTCGGAATTCCAGATAGAGTTTTAGAAAAAGCAACCTTAGAAATAGAGGCTTTTGAGCTGGATGTGACCCTACTGACGGTCATTTCTCAAACTAGGGTTCCAAGGAGGGCTTTGGTAGTTCTGCAAATTTTAGCATCAAATTCCATTTTTAAAAATATTTTAAACTTTAAATTTAAAGTGCACATTGGGGGAGGGTACCTAGATCAAGTGGCAGAGTGCAGGCTTAGCACGCACGAGGTCCTGGGTTCAATCCCCAGTACCTCCATTAAACATAAAAATAATAATTAAACAAATAAACCTAATTACTTCCCCCTGACAAAAACAAAAACAAATAAATAAATAAATAAATAAAAACAACAATTAAAAAAAAATAAAGTGCACGCTGGGCAGCAGGTTTTAAGGTGTTGGAGATAACTAATGTAGGGTTCTCCTGCCGTCTGCATTTAACTTAGATTGTGAGGGGAGCCCTCGAAAAAAACAGCCACTCTTTGCCACCACGTCTCTATGAATCAGGGAGTTAGCCAACGCAGAGATAAAGTGGATGTGATTGAGTATGATTTCAGTTACAACTTCTGGCTTAAAATGTGTGTACAATTGCTTTGTACGTAAATACGAATTTGAACATAGGAGAGACATTTTTACTAATAAAAGTCTACTCTGAACTGTTGCTTACGTTGGGGTGTTTGTAGTGAGTTTTCATTTGAGAAGGAGTTTGGTAGCTATGACTGTTTGACAAGCACCATGCTTTGCTGTGGAGTGACTTGCCTGAGATCTCCCAGCCCTGATGGAGACAGGGTAAGAGCATGGTTATTGTGCTAACAGGACTGTACTGACATACTATCCAAACTGGGACATTTTTGAGAGTGAAAGGGAGAGCTCTTAACAATTATTCCGAGACAACTTCAATCAACTGGACTGTCCCAAGACAAGTGGAATATAGAGCCCCTCTAGCTACAGCATGAATTCATTTATGTTAAATTCTTGAGACTCTTTAAATTGAGATATAAGTGACGTATGACATATCAGTTTCAGGCATATAACATAATGATACAATATTTGTATGTATTGTGTAATGATCACAATAAGTCTGGTTGACATCCATCACTACACATGGTTACCATTTTTTTTCTTGTGATAAGAACTTTCGAATATACAGTACATAGTATTAACTATGGTCACCATGTTGTACATTACATCTCCAGGACTTATTTATCTTACAACTTTTTTGGGGGGTGGGGGGAGAAATCCACTCCTTTATTAGGTGAATACTTAAATAATAATAATACACATTCATGGTAAGCAAATCAAATAGAACAGAAGAATAAGGGCATAAAGGAAAAATCAGAAGTAGGGTGGTCACAGTGACCCTGTGTACTAAGGACTATCCCAGCTAAAAGTGAGAATCCTATGTCCTGATAGCCCTTCTGTCACTGGCAAATCAGGACAGCTGGTCACCCAAACAGCTCTTACATTCCCCAGTCCCTCCCCCTAGAAATGTACCTTTTGACCAACTACACCCATTTCACACACACACACATACACACCCACACCCTGCCTCTGGCAAATACCATACTGTTTTCTGTATCTATGAATTTGGGTTTTTTTAACTTTAACTTTATTTTTAAATTCTAGAGATTTTTAAATTTGTTGACTTAAAAGCTTAAAAATATTCAAACCCACAGCAAAGTTACAATATTGAGGACAAAAAACACAGTTACTCACTCTCGAGATTCCCCAATTGCCCTGTCACTGCCAATCTCCTGCTAAATCAGTTCAAGATCAGGGCTGGGACTATGGTGAGAAGAGTGGGTCACTCAACTCAGACACAAAGTTTAAGAGGCACCAAAAAAAAAAAAAACCAAAAACCCTCATCTTCAGGATAAACATTGTATTACCATACTTTTTAAATCAAAATGAATAAAAATGCATGATGAACAAAATATCAACATTTTAAATAAAAACAGGATCTGACCTTGCATTTGCACACTTTCCTCACTCACCCCTCCCTTATTGCAGTCCTGGAGATTTTAAGACCCTTTACCCCCTAAATAACCTCAGGAGGCATCTTTAAGGATTAAGGTCATTCTCCTATATAACCCCACACACCTACCAAAACTAACAGTCATTATTTAAAGCTTTCCATACGCATCCCCAACTTTCCTAATTAGTGCTAAAACATTCCCAACTAGCTGTTTCTTTCAAACTAGGACCCAATCACGATTGGTTCACGCGTTGCACTACATTTGGTTGTTTTGTCTCTTCGGTCTTATATATTCTTGAGTAAGAGTCAGCAAACCACGTCCATGCATCTGTTTTTATAGATAAAGTTTTATTGGAACCCAGCCATACCTGTTCATTCACATATTACCTATGGCTGTTTTCATACTACAGTGACAGAGCATGTATGGCTCCAAAGCCAAAAATATTTACAATCTGGCCCTTTATATTTATTTATATTATATATACTTACATTTACACTATACATATTAATATTGCATATATTATATATTATATAACAAACATGATATATCTTTATATTACATATAACATTTATAATATTATTTTTATCTTTTATTATATAGTTATTTATTTGTTTAAAATATAAAATATTTACAATCTGCCAACCCTTGTCTTAAAAGGCTTGATTAGATTTAGGGTAGTGTTTTTTTTTTCTTTTCTTTTTTTAGGGTAGATTTTTTAAAAATAGACTATTTTCAGGAGTGATTTTTAGGTTCACAGTAAAATTGAGTGAAAGGTACAGAGATTTCTCATATATCCCCTGCCCCTACACATGTGTCATTTCCTCCATTATCTGTTTATTCATTTATTTTTTTTTAATGGAGGTACTGGGGATTGAACCCAGGACCCCGTGCATGCTAAGCAGGCACTCTACCACTGAGCTGTACCCTTGACCCACCCCCATTGTCAACATACCCCACCAGAGTGGTACATTGATTCCACTTGAAGAACCAGCATTGGCACCTCATCATCACAGGGTAAACGGCTGTAATAAGACTACTTCCTGGTAATTAGTTATCAGTTTCTGCCCCACAAATTACCACAAATTTAGCAGCTGAGACTAACAGTCATTCATTCTCTCACTGTAGCTGTGGGTCAGGAGTCTGGGCACAGTGTGGCTGGGTTCTCTGTTCAGGGTCCCACAAGGTGTCAGCCAGGCTGAGATCTCACTGAGAGGCTCAGAGCCCTGGTCCATAAGCAGTTATGTGGCTGGTTCTTCCTTCAAGGCCAGCATCATCACACCTCTCTGCTGCTTCAAGGCTCCGACCTCCAGATTATCTTTTTTTTTAAATTAATTAATTTGGGGAGGGGGGAGGCAACTAGGTTTGTTTGTTAGTTTTAATGGAGGTATTGGAGATCGAACGCAGGACCCATGCATGCTAAGCGTGCACTCTACCACTGAGCTATACCTTCCCCCCACAGAGTATCTTTTAAAGGGTGCCACTGATTAGGTCAGGCCCATCAGGAATAATCTGCCTTCTGATGAATTCAAAATCAACTCACTTGGGACCTTAAATACACCTGCAAATTCCCTTCACCTTGGCCATGTAGCATCACCTAAATGTAGGCATGACATCCACTATGTTCCCAGGCCCACCCATACTCCAGGATGGGAGATAAGTCAAGTTGCTCATATCAGGGCGTGAGAATCTCTGGCAACCTTAGAATTCTGCCACAACACTAGAGATTTTAGTCCTAAAGTTTGCCACCTGAGAAGACTTAGATTTATTCAAAATAGGATCATTTGATCTTGTCTTCTTAACCTTGCCAAAACACTACCCAACCCAAGACCTATCTAAGAATCTTATCTTAATGCCACTAAATTAGACAAATGGTAAGGAAATTTATGTTCCAATTTTATCTGAACTGTCTATCTAAACAGTCAACATTAAGGTTTTCATTTTCTTCTACTTTAAAAAAATGTTTAAGGATTTTTTTACTTTTATACAAACGATTTAAAATTTTTTATTGAAGTACAGTTTATTTACGATGTTGTATTAGTTTCTGGCCTACAGCAAAGCGAATTCATTTATGTGTGTGTGTGTGTTTATTCTTTTTCAGATTCTTTTCCATTATAGG